CTTCAGAATTATTCTCAGCAACTCAGACCGTTTTAAATATTTTATATTTAATAATATCTCAAAAAGTATTGCTAAATATTATAATTATCCGAATTTTTGATTGATTATTGTTCTGAATCTTAATCCTTACACTTTATTTTTTATTTTATATCCATTTTTATTATTTGACGATTAATTGAAATAATAGATGTAAGACATATATATCCAAATTAACTTATATACTTATTTTATTGATCGACTATTGCATATTGTTTATACAAGATAATAATTGAATTTTATTCTAGCATGTTAATATGACTTTTATTTTCTATAATATAGACAAAATGTAACTTAGATGAACATAACTCTAAAACAACTCAATTTTCTGGATGGTCCGAAACTCCCATTACGCCAGCCTCATTGTTTGAGAACAAGTCTCACTCAGATATTCCCATTCAGCAAAAACTAAACAAAGATTTCCTTTCTCGTCATGCTCCAAAGCCAAAGGAATACAAATTTTTCCACAGTGACAATATTTCTCTGCATATTATTCAGTATCGAAAGGAATTTGCTTCTTCTTCTGTTTCTGGGGACGCAATTTATACGGATGATAGCTTTATCAACGAGAAAGAGATGTCCGTAGGAAATGTAATGCATCCATTTATTAACTTTCTTTTATTTGGTAAATATAATTTAATAACGTGTACACATTATGACAGCCAAATGATACGCTTAACGTATAGAATGATAAATTAGCTGTGATTGCATCAAACATCCATTAAGCATGTTAGTCTGAATATATTATTCCAATTATTTCGCTTTGATGTTGATTTCTACTTGCTGCATTCATTCCCAGTATTCACTCACATAATATACATTATTAATTAATCATACCTTAGACAAAAAGTGCTAAAAAACCAAGTTTTTATCTAACTACTTCAAAAATTTTCAGCGTTTTAGCTGCACACTTTTTTTGAAGAAATTAGTTAATAGATTTATTTTACCTTGCATTAATATTCTTTACCTTTAATACCTTGCCTTGCTAAAGAGTGTATGGCTCCAGTGTTGAGGCAAAAGTAGTATCCTAGCTTTTTTATGCTCCTTACTTCATGCTTATATATCCTTATTGAGAAATTCAATTGTGACATTTTCCCAAAAAATAGGGCTCAATAAAGAAATAAGCTATTTACTATTTAGTAACTATGTGTAAACTGGGGCAATGACCAAGCTTGAACCAATGTAATCTTGAGGACTCTGCGAGCTGAGAGAGGAAAAAAGAAGCAGAAACTTTGTGTGCATCTACAGGGTCGAGCCAGAGATTGTTCCTTGCTGTATGCACATTTTCGTTTACGTTAATAACCCTTGCTTTCCACGATCAAGAAATGCGCTGGGGAGTATGTGCATATAGAATAATGTGATGACAGATAATAGTACCACTTATTACATGTACCTGCGAATGAAGCATGAAACTAAATGCATTCTATAAACCATTTGACTCTAGTAAATTGGATGTTAAAATCACTCTTAGGTTATAGCACAAATAATCAAAGAAAATTGAGATCCAGTGATATTTCAGCTGCACAATGATCTCATACTTGAAGCTAACATAAGGTAGTTCTATTTTGGTGCCAAAATTTACGAACTTAGTGCATAGCAGTGAAGTTGGGTAAGGTAAAGCTCAAAACTTCGAGGGAAATAAAGAGCCTTAATCTTATAGTATTTCTTTCTCTCAAAGCTTTCAAGAAATATTTTAAACGATTCTGGTTGTTTTATAGGTCTGGTATGCTTTCACTTTTCAAATATATCTAACCATTCAACCTATCAGTAAGGGTTAATTAATAAGCAACGCTATTTTCTTATTGCAGAGCAAAGGGGCACCAAGTTTTCAACGGTTCTCTGGTAATAGTCTGAGCTCGCCAAGAGGTGAACTATTACCTGTATCATCTGTAGCGACAGCAATGCCTACAACAACTTCGCTTGCATTGATGCATCTGACAAACCCTTTAATTTGTCCAAGCAAGCCCAGCTGTCGATTGCCTCGACCTCCACTTCCATCCAATTATACCAACGGATTCGTCTCATTTGGCCAACGTCAAGCCTGTACTGGTTGGGGACTATGTCCTGGGGCTGTGCCAACTGGACATTGGAATCCAGCAATAGCATCTGGAAATTGGATACTTAGAGCGGCATTAAACAAAGCTGTTGCAACGGCCTGGTGGGTTGGGCCTCGCGGTCTGTCTGGAGAGTCAGCAATAAACTTTAAGTCCAAGCAATCGACCAGACCTCAACAACAACAGCCGTTAAAACAGACAGGTTCGACTAAAACGAATAGTGTAAATGAAATTTACAGGTAAGCTTTTAGGGCTGCTGTTAAAGAAATATTTAGAGATAGAAATGGGTTTTTGAATAGCTTTGAAACCTCAAAAGTGTTTCCTTATTAAGATGAGTTAGGCTGTTAAAAGACTGTTGGCTATTAGAGGAATTCCTAAAATATGACTAACCTATTTTCTCGGACATGATAGACTAGCCAGGAGC